CCCGCCTCGGCCTCCCAAAGTGCTGGGATTACAGGATTGAGCCGCCACGCCCAGTCATGCCAGGTATTATTTTTAGGAGGTTGAGAAACATCAAGTGATCTGATCTAGTGTGTTTTGAAATCTCAATCTTCATATCAAAGAGGAGTTTAAAAGTATACTCCTCAAAGTTACTTTGTCATTGCCATAGAAACAAAATTCATTTTCAGGGTTTGAAAAAAACTGCTTTTTCTGTTTCATAAGATTTCTTTTCTCTTCATAGGATCTTGACTGGTTCTTATGATAAGACTTCTCGGATCTGGTCCTTGGAAGGAAAGTCAATAATGACGATTGTGGGACATACGGATGTTGTAAAAGATGTGGCCTGGGTGAAAAAAGGTTAGGACATTTTCCTTACACTTTGAGGAATCCTAGATAGAGATTTGGAAATAAGCCATTTTTGGTGCTGGGGAAGAATGGGGAGTGGGTAGGAAGCATCTCATACCTCAGTTATGAGGTCTTTCAAAAAATATAGTGTTCAAGAAGAAAAAGATTATATAAAAATTCCTAAATTGTTAGAAGTGAATATTTATTAAAATTGCATCAGATAGTATACATTTTCAAGTTAATATTGAGTGTATTACATTCATCTCTTTTCTTCTTGTTTGTTTGTTTTGAGATGGAGTCTCGCTCTGTCACCCAGGCTAGCGTGCAGTGGCATGATCTCGGCTCACTGCAACCTCCGCCTCCCAGGATCAAGCGGTTCTCCTGCCTCAGCCTCCCGAGTAGCTGGGACTACAGGCGCCTACCACCACGCCCGGCTGATTTTTGTATTTTTAGTAGAGATGGGGTTTCACCATGTTGGCCAGGCTGGTCTCAAACTCCTGACCTCGTGATCCACCCGCCTCGGCTTCCCAAAGTGCTGGGACAGGCTTGAGCCACCGCGCCTGGCCTGTTTGTTTTTTGAGGCAGAGTCTCACTCTGTCACACAGACTAGAGTGCAGTGGCTCAATCTCAACTCACTGCAACTTCCACCTCCCAGGTTCAAGCAGTTCTCCTGCCTCAGCCTCCTGAGTGGGTGGGATTACAGGCGCCTGCCCCTACACCCACCTAATTTTTGTATTTTTACTAGAGACAGGGTTTTGCCGTGTTGGCCAGGCTGATCTCAAACTCCTGACCTTAAGTGATCCGCCTGTCTTGGCCTCCCAAAGTGCCAGTATTAGAGGCGTGAGCCACCACACCCAGTCATCATCTTCTATTTTTAAAAAATCTTTTCTTTATACGATATCAGCCTTTTAAAACCTGGCCATATATGAGTTATCTTTTTAACATCTTTTTCAATAACAACAAAAAAATTTAGTTCTTCGGTTTCAGAACATGATGTATTCTAAATGGTGTACTGATTTGTTTCTTATTCTTGTGTTCTCCTTTCTTCAGATAGTTTGTCCTGCTTATTATTGAGTGCTTCTATGGATCAGACTATTCTCTTATGGGAGTGGAATGTAGAGAGAAACAAAGTGAAAGCTCTACACTGCTGTAGAGGTCATGCTGGAAGTGTAGATTCTGTAGCTGTTGATGGCTCAGGAACTAAAGTAAGTAGCTGGAATATAATTAGTACTGTGTTAAATTAGTATTGGAGCTTGTTCCTAAACATTTTTTTCTACATATGTTCATTGTGTTGGCCTAGTTTCCTAACAATCGGTGACAAAAGATAGGATTTCAAAGCAAGAGTAAATACTCATACAGTAGGAGATAGTCACTTGCTCAGTTTGAATATCCCTGTTTTAGAACCTTATATAAACTTCAGAAATTTTAAGAAATGAGGTATGGGCCGGGCGCAGTGGCTCACACCTGTAATCCCAGCACTTTGGGAGGCTGAGGTGGACAGATCACCTGAGGTCAGGATGGTTCGAGACCAGCCTGACCCACATGGAGAAACCCTGTCTCTACTAAAAAAAAATAAAAAATAAGCCGGGCATGGTGGCACATGCCTGTAATCCCAGCTACTCGGGAGGCTGAGGTAGAAAAATCACTTGAACCCGGGAGGCGGAGGTTGCAGTGAGCCGAGATTGCGCCATTGCACTCCATCCTGGGCAACAAGAATGAAACTCAGTCTCAAAAAAAAAAAATAAAGAAAGAAAAAAGAAATGAAGTAAACAAGCCATTCATTTATATAACTTTCTTACCTCATAGTAATTGACATATTTCCAGTCTATATCAGCTACTCTTAAGTGCTGCCATCAACTGAAAATGGCTCGTTGATCATCTGAGCGTTAGCATACACTAAAGTTAGTGCTAATAGAGTTTTACTATAGTACCTATCTACTCTTTATCATGATAAAATGGTAATAGTTAAAAGGTAACAAAACTGAGGGCAATACCATATTGATTTATTAATATGAAGTGTTATAAATCCACTTATAATTTGAAAGTTTCCTAAGCCACATTGAAGTTTTCTGGACTTAAGAGTGTTTCTTTGACAGTTAGGATAACAGGATGCTTGTATTCAAAGGTGAAGATTTATGATTTTTCATATTGAACCAAAAAGGTTTATATGTTGTTTATTCCAAACTTTAGTGAATTAACTGTACCCCTTCTTTTTGGTTAAGGAGAGATAGAAACTCAGCTTGAACTTATTTAACCTTAAAAGTAAATGGACTGTGAGATCCCAGGAAAGATTGAACAACCACATCACAAGAAGGGTAATGGTGCATTTGGGCCTCAGGAACCAGTGGAATAGAGGCTTGAATGTGGTCCGCACACCCTCTCGCTCTCTTGTCCCTCAGGTTGACTTTATTCTCTCTCACTTCAGATTGGCTTTCTTCAAAAGACATGGCAATAAGCCTGGCCTTCAAGATTTCCCAGATTTTATGTCCTGTCCTATTTGCCCTTGGAAAAGGCTAATTTCAACTCTCTGGAACACAAGTTCTTTGAAAAGGTCCTGAATGAGGAAGAGACCTACTGGTATAGGCAAATAATATGAATCATATTACATATGTCTTTTCCCTTCATATACATCTGTTTAGTTTTGCAGTGGCTCCTGGGATAAAATGCTAAAGATCTGGTCTACAGGTAAATTAAATATTTATTTTACCTTGACTTATTAATGTTGTTTCAAAAATTTAAGTTCAGAGGCCATGTGGTGGCTCACGCCTGTTATCTCAGCACTATGGGAAGCCAGGGTAGAAGGATCACCTGAGGCCACAAGTTCAAGAACAGCCTAGGCCACGTAGTGAGACCCTGTCTCTACTAAAAGTGGAAAATTAAAATTAGCCATGTGTGGTGGTGTGCACCTGTAGTCCTAGCTCCTTGGGAGGCTGAGGTAAGGGGATTGTTTGAGCCTAGGAGTTTGAGGTTTCAGCAAGCTATGATATCATATGACTGCACTTTAGCCAGGGTGATGGAGTGAGAACCTGTCTCAAAAAAAAAAAATCAGTGTAGCGAAAGGGGACTTTTTAACCCATATTTTCCCATAAAAATAGACCAGTATGTCAACAAGTTCATATATTTCTTTGCATGTCGAGATTTTTTTTTCCTACCCCACCACCCCGTTACTTACTGGATAGTGTCACTGAATTGCAAGTATCAAAAACATGTTTGGTGCAATAGGACATAAATACCTTGATTCTCAAAGTTCTCTTATTCAGGAAACTTGGAAGTGAATAAAAATACTTTCCGAGTCATTTTGACTTAAGTCATTTAAGAATGACTTTTGAGACATTTTACTGTTAATTTCTTAGGTAAGCTGGTTTACTTAAAAAAATTTTTAAATGCAGTTTTTCCAATATTACTATTTTTACTCTGAAAACATAGATTAAAAGCAACAAATTGAGGGAGGAGGAGGAAGGACTCTTAGAGGAAGGTGCTTTCATAGTAGTAAGAAGACACTGATGAGAAGAAAAGAGGAAAAAACACACACCCATAGATACTTACATTTTAACACCTAGTAGCTAGAACTATTTATTGCATGGGTAAACAGATCAGAATACCTCTGTTACTTTTTAGGTAATTGCTGTGTTACACAGTATAATACCCCAAATGCATTTCACAAAGACTTGAGGGGGATCAAGACACGCTTAACCAGTTTTGAATAATTATGTGTAAGATGGTGGGAAATATATAATCCATTTTAGTAGATTTTACAAAAATGGTGAAAGCAAATAATTTGGTGGCAAAAAGTGGTTTAATTTAGAAAATTCTTTAGTAGAATTTTTTATTTTTTGATAGGGCTGAGTAAATGAGATTGTATATGATTAGCTATTAACTTTAAGGGGTTTATAATCTATTTAGAGAAATATTAATATTCATAAAAGCCACAAAACATTTTAATGTTTTACATATTTTATGTTACATATTTAATGTAACAATGTGTATGTTACTGTAACGTAATGTAACATACATTACATATTTAATGTTGCATATTTTATGTAGTTTTCAATCTGGGTTTGCTGCCTAACCATGTGATGTATAGCAAAGATTTTAAAAACTCAAAAAAACCAGAAACACTTTTGGTAGAAAAATGAAATTAAGAGAATAAACATGGCTGAAATGTATGTGCATTTTTCATGTGTTTATCCTTCCCTCCTTCGTAATGTAAATGTAATGTGTTCATAACTCTCCTACAACTAACAGCAATTTTTCATAGCTATGATAAAATGATAAATATTTATAATGATGACATTAAAGATAGCAAGATTTTAAACTACTTAGATTTTAGTTTTCTAATGTAGTTTATTTTTTATTTTTTTATTTTTAAAGATTGTTAATCTAGGTAGTATTTTATATATAACTTTCTATTAACCAAAATGATGAGGAATAATCATTCCTTAACTAGTTGTGATAACATGGAAAAACTGTATTTGGAAATGTAAAGAATTGTTTCAGACAGTTCACGATTAATACTGTTTTTAAAATGTCAAATCTAATTCTTTGTGATACAGTCCCTACAGATGAAGAAGATGAAATGGAGGAGTCCACAAATCGACCAAGAAAGAAACAGAAAACAGAACAGTTGGGACTAACAAGGGTCAGTATTTGTGAGAACTGACTGTACTTGCCTTAGGCCTGTGTTGACAAATACATGGTAATTTAGTATGGTCTTTCATGTTTATGTTTCCTTCTGTCTTACCTTGCTTCTTTAACCATGATTATCCATTTTTTTCAGTACACTTGTAAATTTTTATTATAAGCAAAGTATTGTTGCTACATTTATTTGTATCTTTGAATGTAGTGGCATTGAGCCAGGCTTGTGGTTGCTAGGTTGATGAGTTAGTTATTATGTTTGATCTCATGCCGCATTCTGAACCTTTTAATTATTAAAGCTTACACTAAAGTGAAGCATCTAATTACCTGACTGTTGGATAATACTATCTGTTTCATGCACTGCGTATGTAGTTTTTATAAGTGATCCTAGTTATATCTTCTAAATCACTAGAAACCAAGGGTTTAATTTGGGATTTGCTTCTGTCATTTAGCTATTAGATTCCATTAAGTCAAACTCAGCAAGTTTTTCCAGATTTTTTCTTACTTTTAAAAATACTTAATTGATAAAGATTGAATATATTCAAGGTGTACTACATGATTAGATATACATAAACATTGTGTAATGATTACCACAATCAAATTAATTAACACATCCGTCACCACCCATGCTGTACATTAGATCCTGAGAACTTGTTCATCTTATAACTAAAAGTTTGTGCCCTTGGACCAACATTTCCCCATTTCCTCACACTCCAGCTCTTGGCAACCACTGTTCTACTCTGTGCTTCCATGAGTTTGGCTTTTCATGCAGTTTACTATTTATCCTGTTACGAAGATATTTGTTATAATATGACCCGACCTATATTTATATACTTTTTGTGAAGGGTGATACTGAGTCAGGTTTAGAAAAACATTTTTCATTCATTTTCTAATAGCTATAATGAATGTGCAGTAAATAAAGCACACATTTGCACATTAATTCTTATAGTCACCAATAAAATACCTTGTAAAAATTGTTGAAAATGAAGGATAAAGTGGGATCATAAATTATTCATCAAATAGAATGTAATAGTAGCGCTTGGCCGAGTGCGGTGGCTCACGCCTCTAATCCCAGCACTGTGGGAGGCTGAGGCAGGCGGATCACAAGGTCAGGAGTTTGAGACCAGCCTGGCCAATATGGTGAAACCCCATCTCTACTACAAATACAAAAATTAGCCGGGCATGGTGGTGGGTGCCTGTAGTCCCAGCTACTTAGGAGGCTGAGGCAGGAGAATTGCCTGAACCCAGGAGGCAGAGGTTGCAGTGAGCCAAGATTGTGCCACTGCACTCCAGCCTGGGCGACAGCGAGACTGTGTCTCAAAAAAATAAATAAATAAATAAAAAATAAATTAAAAAAAAATAGCGCTTACTAGTTCCAGCTGAAAGTAATGATTTATCATTTCTTAATACATTTAAACACAGACTGATGAATTGCAAGAGGAAAGATCTGGCACTTACTCAGCTTCTTTACTCTGATAGACTAAATTAAAGCTAGAAATGGAGGCCGAGTGTGGTAGCTCACGCCTATAATCCCAGCACTTTGGGAGGTCAAGGTGGGCAGATTGCTTGAGCTCAGGAGTTTTAAGACCAGCCCGGGCAACATGGTGATACCCTGTATCTACAAAAAAATTTTTTAAAAGTTAGCTGGATGTGGTCGCTTGCACCTGTGGTCCCAGCTACGCCCAGCCCGGGAGGCAAAGGTTGCAGTGAGCCAAGATTGTGCCACTGGATTCCAGCCTGAGCAACAGAGCAAGACCCTGTCTCAGAAAATAAAATAAAAAGTAAAGCTAGAAATGCCTTACCAATTGGATATTGTGCCAGTGTTCGTTTATATTCATGTATATCCCTGATCAAACTTTTAAAGAACATATCTGAGTAGGAAAAGATTTCTTGAGTTATAAAAGTTTTTTTACTGAAAAGGTAGCTCCCTTCCTTCCTTCCTCCCTCCCTCCCTCCCTCCCTCCCTTCCTTCCTTCCTTCCTTCTCAGTTGCCCAGGCTGGAGTGCAGTGGCACAATCATAGCTCACTGTAACCTCAAACTCCTGGCCTCAGGTGATCCTCCCACCTCCACCTCCCAAAGTTCTGAGATTATAGGCTTGAGCCACCATGCTCTGCCATTTTTTTCTCTTTTTAAAGTTTGGCATGCAGCTTAAATGTTGCTCAATGAATTTTTATAAATATGTATACTCAAGTAATTACTACCCAAATAAAAATAGAGATTTACCAATACCCTAGATGTCTCCCTCTAGCCTGCCTCTCAGACAGTACCTCACTAAAGTTAATCACTTTTGACTTATGCCATCTGAGATTAGTTTTACCTATTTTTAAAATTTCACATGATATCTGTAAGATAGATCTTTTCATTAATACATAGCATTCCATTGCAGCATCAATATGCCACAGTTTATCCATTATTGAGATAAGGTCTCACTCTGTCACCCAGGCTGGAGTACAGTGGCCTAATCATAGCTCACTGCAGCCTCAACCTCCCCAGACTGAGGTGATCCTCCCACCCCAGCCTCCTGAGTAGCTAGGACTATAGGCGCATGCCACCATGCCCAGCTAGTTTTTCTTTCTTTCTTTCTTTTTTTTATTTTGTAGATACTGGGTTTTGTCATGTTGCCCAGGTTGGTCTTGAACTCCTGGGCTCAAGTGATCTGCTTGCCTCAGCTTCCCAAAGCTTCCCAAAGTGCTGGGATTACAAACTTGAGCCAACACACCCAGCTATTTATTATTCTTTTGATGGACCTTTTTTTCCCCCCTTTTGAGAGGAGTGGTGCAGTGGCATAATCATGGCTCACTGTAGCCTCAACCTCCAGGGCTCACATAATCCTCACACCTCAGCCTCTCAAGTAGCTGGAACTACAGGCGCGTGCCACCATGCCCTGGCTAATTTTTTTTTTTTTTTTTAAACATGGGGTCTTGCTGTATTGCCCAGGCTGGTCTTGAAATCCTGGCCTCAAGCAGTCCTCCCACCTCGGTTTCAAATTGCTGGGATTACGGGCATGAGCCACCATGCCTAGCTGTTACTCCACATCTTTACCAGCACTTGATATGGTCAGTTATTAAAGTCATGATTAACTTTTATTAAGCCCTGGATCTTTGATACTCAATTATGAAATGTTCATATTTTTAGCTAATTTTTAAGTTATTATTCATTTTTTTATAGAGATGGTGTCTTGCTTTGTTGCCCAAGCTGTCTTAAACTACTGGGCCCAAGCAGTCCTCCCACGTCATAGCCCATTTTTTAAAAGAGTGTTGGCTCTCTTTTACTTATTGATTTTTTTTTTTTTCTTACTGATTTGTAAGAGTTCTTTATGTATTCTGGATGCAAGTTTTTTGTTAAATATATGTATTTAAGTATTTTTCTCCCATTCTGCTTTGCTGATACCATTTATTTCTAGGTGCATACTTTTGTAAGCTTGCTCCCATAGTTCATTTTATTTGAGAGAAATAATAGTATATTGAGTTTCTCATTTAGCTTTTTTCCCCCTTTCCCTGGCTTTTCCTGAGAAATCATTTAGCTTTTTATAGGGTTTAAATTTATATATTCATAAATCATTAATTTAAGTCATGCCAGAAACCCTTGAAGTGCCAATTACAATGAAAATGTTGCTGTGTTAGAAATAATAGAAAAATTTGGGGCCCAAGATGGTAGCTTACACCTGTACTTTGAAGCCAACACTGGAGGATCACTTGAGTTCAAGACCAGCCTGGGCAACATAGCAAGACCCCATCTCTAAAAACTTAAAAATTAGCCAGGCATGGTGGTGTGCATCTATATTCCCAGCTACTTGAGAGGTTGAAGTGGGAGGATCACTTGAGCCCAGGAAGTCAAGGCTGCTGTGAGCTATGATTGCACCACTGCACTCCAGTTTGGGTTTCAGAGTGAGACCTTGTCTCACAAAAACTAAAGGAAAATTTGGATTTTAGCAAACTAATAGAAAAAAGAGATAAGACATATCAAAAATAGGTATCTTCTCTTTGCATTTCTTTCTACTGCCTGAAATGTGTTAATGTGAATAATGCTGCCAGTTCATTCACCTGTCGTTTGCTTCATATATTAACATACAATGAAGTTTTTTCCTCCATAATTCTCAAAATTGCTTTTTTCCCTCCAGTAATACTATTCCACTTAGTTTGTAGTGACAATGCCAACGTTGACTTTTCTACTTTTAAAGAAAAGTTTTATTAGAGGAGAATTCACTTTTTGGTGTATAACTCTTTAGTTTTGATGAATATATAGAATCATGTAACTGCTACACAACCAAGATATAGAATAGTCCATCGGCCGGGCGCGGTGGCTCATGCCTGTAATCCCAGCACTTTGGGAGGCTGAGACGGGCGGATCACAAGGTCAGGAGATCGAGACCATCCTAGCTAACAAGGTGAAACCCCATCTCTACTAAAAAGTACAAAAAAACTAGCTGGGCGACGTGATGGGTGCCTGTAGTCCCAGCTACTTGGGAGGCTGAGTCAGGAGAATGGCGTAAACCCGGGAGGCGGAGCTTGCAGTGAGCGGAGATCGCGCCACTGCACTCCAGCCTGGGTACAGGGTGAGACTCTGTCTAAAAAAAAAAAAAAAAAAAAGAAGAGTCCATCATCCCTGAAAACTCATATTGCCCCTTCTTGTCAACTCTCCTCCCGCCTCTATCCTCTGAAAACCACTGCTCTGCTGTCTGTCCCTATAATTTTTCCAGAATGTCACATAAGTGCAATCACATAGTTTAGTGTATGTAGTCTTTTGTATCGGGCCCTTTGCACTTAGCATAAAGCATTTGACATTTTTTGAGGTTATCGGGGGTATCAATGCTGAGTAGTATTCTGTTGTATGGATATGCCACAGTTGGTTTAATCATTCACCAACTGAAGGATATTTGATTGTTTCCAGTTTGGCAGTTATAAGTAAAACTATCAACATTTGTATTTAGGTTTTTGTGTGAACCTGTTTTCATTTCTCTTGGGTAAATGCCTAGGAATGGTATAGCTTATTCATATGATCAGCTTGCCTATTGTTTTTACCATGTCATTTTCTATTCTAGAGCCTTCTGATTACCTCTGTGTCACCTTTTCATTTTGTTTTAGATCACATCAGAGATTGTTCTGTTTCTCACTCCTCTATCAGGTTCCTTTACTTCTTTCAGGAAAATTTTAAAGCTGGAAGAGAGACCTCAGGGATCATTTGGTCTAGGAGTTGGCAAATTACAGCCCAACAGCCAATTTGGCTGTCACCTGTTTTTGTACTGCAGAGAGCTAAGGGATGGTTTTTATAAGTATAAAGTGTTGTAAAAACAACCCCTTATTAAAACAACTGTGGTCCAAGTGCAGTGGCTCACACCTGTAATCCCAGCACTCTGGGAGGCTGAGGCGGGCAGATCATCTGCGATCAGGAGTTCAAGACCAGCCTGACCAACATGGTAAAACCCGTCTCTACTAAAAATGTGAAAAGTTAGCCAGGTGTGGTGGCACACACCTATAATCCCAGCTACTTGGGAGGCTGAGGCAGGAGAATCACTTGAACCTGGGAGGCGGAGGTTGCAGTGAGCCAAGCTCATGCATTGCACTCTAGCCTGGGTGACGAGCGAAACTCCGTCTCAGAAAAAAAAAAAAAAAAAAACAACTATGGTATTATTCATACAACAGAATACTACTCAGCAAAGAAAAATATACAACAGAAACTGTATGTGGTCTCCAAAGGCGAAATATTTACTTACTGGTTCTTCACTGAAAAAGTTTGCTTTCTGATCCAGTTATAACTCCTTAATATTACAGATGAGGCAATATTTAAGGAAGTTAAATGTAGCAAAGTTATATAAAAATAGATTGACTATCCCCGATTCCAGAATTCTTTTCCTCTCTTTTTTTTTTTTTTTGAGATGGAGTTTCGCTCTTGCTACCCAGGATGGAGTGTAATGGTGCAGTCTCGGCTCACTGCAGCCTTTGCCTCCTGGGTTTAAGCGATTCTCCTGCCTCAGCCTCCTGAGTAGCTGGGATGACAGGCATGCACCACCACGCCCGGCTAATTTTGTAGTTTTAGTAGAGATGGGGTTTCTCCATATTGGTCAGGCTGGTCTTGAACTGCTGACCTCAGGTGATCCACCTGCTTTGGCCTCCCAAAGTGCTGGGATTACAGGCGTGAACCACCGTGCCCAGCTAGTTTTTTTTTTGTTTTGTTTTGTTTTTTGTGACAGACTGTCACTCTGTTGCCCAGGGTAGAGTGCAGTGGCATAATCTCAGCTAACGGCAACCTCCGCCTCCCTGGCTCAAGCAGTCCTTCCATGTAAGCCTCTCGGATAGCTGAGGCTACAGGCATGTGCCACCACGGCCAGCTCATTTCTATATTTTTTTGTAGAGACAGGGTTTCAACATGTTGCCCAGGCTGGTCTTGAACTCCTGAGTTTAAGTGATCCACCCACCTCGACCTCCCAAAGTGCTAGGATTACAGGTGTTAGCCACCCTGTGTGGCCTCCTCTCTTTTTTTTTTTGAGAGACAAGATCTCTCTTGTTCACACAAAAACCTAAGTTACCATTTAAAGCGTTGTAAAAACAACCCCTTATTAAAACAACTGTGGGCCGAGTGCAGTGACCCACTGCAGGAGTGGGTCTGGCCGGAGTACAGTGGTGTGATCATAGCTCACTGTAGCCTCAAACTCCTGGGCTCAAGCGATCCTTCTACTTCAGCCTCCCAAGCAGCTATGACTATAGTCATGTGTCATTAAGCCCAGCTAATTTTATATTTTTAGTAGAGATAGAGCCCCACTATGTTGCCCAGGCTGTTCTCAAACTCCTGGGCTCCAGTGATCCTCCTGCTTCAGCCTCCCAAAGCGTCAAGACTACAGGTATGAGCCTCTGTGCCTGGCCCTTCCCACTCTCTTTTATATACTCCTTATATTTAAGGTAGGTACTCTACCTAGTTACCTAGTTTGGGGCTTTTAGTTTAGAAAGACATTAGAGATTGTGGAGTATTAATAAGTGAACTGTATAAATTATTTAAAGATTAAATAATAGGACTTAAAGGTGCTGAGGAATGTGGTGGTAAGAATAACTTAATGAGATTAATTTACCTGGAGGAGTTATGTAGAAATTGGCAGCATATTTTGAGTGAAGGTGCTGAAACCTATGTCTGTCTGATCACAAAGCTTTTTGTGTTAACTGTGAAGCAGTTTCACTAATAACCAGTCCTAAGGGAGGATTCCCACTGAGTGGAGGATAGTAAAGGTCATCATATGCCAGCCACCAGGAATAGAAGTGTGAATACTTTGACCCACCGCATCCTGGGCTGCAGTTTTACCAATTGCCTGAATCTGGTGAGGAAGAGCACACACGCAACACGTTACATGAAACAGGTTTATTACTTACAGATAGGCAGCAAGGGACAACACAAGCCGAGGATCCATTGTGAGCCAGTCCCCCAAGGCTCAAGGAAGCTGCCCGGGGCAAATGGAGTGTTAACTGCATGTGTGTCACTTGCAGCACAGCTGAGGGATCCCAAAAAGCAGCCTGCCCTGTTTTTTGTACCCTGGGGTCACTTGACTCTCTGGGCAAAGTTTGAAGGACATCCTGTTTCTAGGAGCTGGAATAGAGCCCCCAGGCTATACTGGCCAGTTGCTCCCTATCTCCGGATGTTATATTCCTGGAATATTCTATAGTTACTATGAGAACTACAGGCAAGAAAAAAAGAGGGGGAGAAACTATCCATCAGTCCAAGGCCATTCGGAAACCATCCAGCACTAACCTTTAATATAACATTTTTCAGCTGGGAGAGTTAAGTTTGTGTTAATGCTGATCAAAATGAAAAGTAGAACAGATGAAGAGCAGCAGAATACAGTGGAAAAACTACAGACAAGTAATATTTGGGTTCAGACTCAAGTCTGCCACTTACAAGCTCTATGACCTTGGGCAAGTTATCAGCCTCAGTGTCTTGTATAAAATAAAAAACAAATATCCATTCCATTGTAAAGAAAGAAGAAATAAGTCGGGATATGAAAGATGGGCAGTTTGTCTCTGTCATATGGGCTTTGTAAGTAATAAGTACTATTATTGTTTCAATTACTCTGTAATGAAAACACTTTCCCCTTTTGGGGGTCTTCCTTTCTAGACTCCCATAGTGACCCTCTCTGGCCACATGGAAGCAGTTTCCTCAGTTTTGTGGTCAGATGCTGAAGAAATCTGCAGTGCTTCTTGGGACCATACAATTAGAGTGTGGGATGTTGAGTCTGGCAGTCTTAAGTCAACTTTGGTAAGACAAATTTAGTGTTCTTTTAAGTGCTAAACTTCTAGAGCTGGTTTTTAGTCTATGATGGTTAATGTTCTTCCTTTTCTTTTTCAGACAGGAAATAAAGTGTTTAATTGTATTTCCTATTCTCCACTTTGTAAACGTTTGGCATCTGGAAGCACAGATAGGCATATCAGACTGTGGGATCCCCGAACTAAAGGTGAATCATGTAAACCACTGGGAGAAAATATGTGTGAATTATATCTATTTCTCATCTCACTGGAGATGTACAAAAAAAGAAATTTATGACCAGGCATGGTGGCTCCTGTAATCCCAGCACTTTGGGAGGCCAAGGCGGGCGGATCACGAGGTCAGGAGTTAGAGATCAGCCTGGCCAACATAGAGAAACCCTGCCTTTACTAAAAATGCAAAAATCAGCTGGGTGTGGTGGCGTGTGCCTGTAATCCTAGCTACTCAGGAGGCTGAGGCAGGAGAATCGCTTAAATCCCAGAGGCGGAGGTTGCAGTGAGCCAAGATCGTGCCACTGCACTCCAGCCTGGTGACAGAGCAAGAGTCCATCTCAAAAAAAAAAAAAATTTCTACAACTATTTTTTGGGTTTATTCTACCTACTTCTGTTTTGTAAATTTCGACACTTGTCTTTTTTGCTTTCTTCAGATGGTTCTTTGGTGTCATTGTCCCTAACCTCACATACCGGTTGGGTGACATCAGTAAAATGGTCTCCTACCCATGAACAGCAGCTGATTTCAGGATCTTTAGATAACATCGTTAAGCTGTGGGATACAAGAAGGTACATTCTATTTATGATCTACAAAAGAAACATATCAATTACCTGTTACAGAAAGAAAATGAATACTGAAATTCTTATCTAAAACCAGAAGAGTAAAAAAAGCCTCATGGTTATACAACCTCAGGTGACAAATACTGATATGCAAAAGAAAAGCCAGGATCAAAAAAATTTTTGGCCAGGTGGGGTGGCTCACACCTGTAATCTCAGCACTTTGGGAGGTTGAGGCAGGCAGATCACCTGAGGCCAGGAGTTCAGGACCATCCTGACCAACATAGTGAAACCCTGTCTCTATTAAAAATACAGAAATTAGCTGGGCATGGTGGCGCACTCCTGTAATCCCAACTACACAGGAGGCTGAGGCAGGAGAATCGCTTGAACCCGGGAGGCGGAGGTTGCAGTGAGCCGAGATTGCGTCACTGCACTCTAGCCTGGGCAACAGACCAAGACTCCATCTCAAAAAGAAAAAGAAATTCTTGTTAATATGTTGTTTTTTGCATGTAGATAGCTAGACAAACAGTATATAAGGCCATAGTTTGGGGGTTTAAAAAAAAGTCAAGGAAGTGTGAAAATGGGCCTAATTATAAATAAATTCTTATAATGAAATAACATTTTTTTTCCTGAATATTTTGTTATAATAAATATCTGTGGTCTACCAATGATACAGGAAAAAGAGGAGAGGTGATCAAATAAACAGAATTTTAAGATTAAGTGGTTATTGGGGCAAGGTTGGTAAACCCTGTAAAGTTTTCAGATAAGTATAAGTGATTATTCAAATGTTTGTTTTAACACTGAAGGCATATAACATGTTAATATTTTCATCTTTTAGTTGTAAGGCTCCTCTCTATGATCTGGCTGCTCATGAAGACAAAGTTCTGAGTGTAGACTGGACAGACACAGGGGTAAGAATTTATTAGTTATTTGATGAAGAGGAAAGTGTATTAGAATAAATCTGGTGTTTGTGTTTATAAAATTTATTAGTTTCAATATATTTGATATTTATAATTCTGTATTATTTCCCTTAATGTTGTTTATAAAATCTCACCTTTCATTCAAAGAAGAAACAAATTTGTCCTTTAATAGGCCAGGCATGGTGGCTTATGCCTGTAATCCCAACACTTTGGGAGGGAAGGTGGGAAGATTCTTTGAGCCCAGGCGTTCAAAACCAGCCTAGGCAACATAGTGAGATGCTGTCTCTACAAAAAATTAAAAAATTAGCTATCCATGGTGGTGTGACCTATAGTCCAGCTACTTGAGCCTGAAGCAGGAGGATCACTTGTGCCTGGGAGGTCAAGAGTGCAGTGAACTATGATCGTGCCACTGCACTCTAGCCTGGGTGAAAGAGTGATACCCTGTCTCAATAATAATACTAGGAATAGTAAATTTGAAATTTTAGAGCATTTTTTTTCCTTGTGAGTATAGTGGGGTTTTTTTTGTTGTTGTTGTGGTGTTGTTTTAAGAAACAAGGTCCTCTGTTGCCCAGGCTGAAATGTTAGTGGTGCAATCGTGACTCACTGCAGCCTCGAACTCCTGGGCTCAAGCAATCCTCCCGCCCCCATGTGTATCTTCTTATTTATTTATTTATTTTTAGAGATTGAGGCTTGAACTCCTGGGCTTAGGTGATCCTCTTGCCCTAGCCTTCTGCGTAGCTGGGACTACAGGCAGGTGCCACCACATCTGGCAAATTTTAAAATTTTTTGTAGAGACGTGGTCTCACTGTGTTCCCCATGCTAGTCTTGAACTTCTGGCCTAAAGCAGTTCTCCCGCCTCAGCCTCTCAGAGTGTTAGAATTACAGGCGTGAGCCACTGTGCCTAGTCCCCATGAGTATCTTCATGAAACATTTTACATCTAAAAACTCACTATTTAAGACTAATTGGATGAAAGCGTTTACCGGTTGGAAAAATCTTACGTAAGTCTGCATTATAAAATGTGTTCAAAGAATTACAATTTAATTATTTTTATGTATATACATGTGCTTTTACTGCCTAAGAATTATTTCTAAATATAAGTCCTAGGGCTACTTGAATAATTTGTAATATGCAATTAATGTGCTGTCCTTTAAAAACTTTTAATTTAATAGGTAAAACTATATCCCTTTCAAACTTATTATATATCTTGGCAGATGCTTTATAGAAAGTGCAACAGCATATTGTGTCTCAACCAAATTTAAATGATAGCTTTTAATGTTTTAATATACAGTATTGTAGTATAGTAGTGAAACAATGTTGGTCCCTTTACTAACTCTCAATGCAAGTTAACTGCTCACCCATAATTCCTTTTGTAATGAAAATCGTTAGTATTTAATTAGGTTTAGCTATGATATGAAATAATTATATTTACTTATGTTTTCTTTTTCTCTCCTTTTACACAGCTACTTCTGAGTGGAGGAGCAGACAATAAATTGTATTCCTACAGATACTCACCTACCACTTCCCATGTGGGGGCATGAAAGTGAACAATAATTTGACTCTAGAGATTATTTCTGTAAATGAAATTGGTAGAGAATCATGAAATTACATAGATGCAGATGCAGAAAGCAGCCTTTTGAAGTTTATATAATGTTTTCACCCTTCATAACAGCTAGTGTATCACTTTTTCTTATTTTGCATTTATAATAAGATAGGTTGTGTTTATAAAATATAAACTGGCATGCATTCTCTATACAAACTTGAAATTAAACTGAGTTTTACATTTCTCTTTAAAGGTATTGATTTGAATTTAGATTTTTTTTTTATTTTTTTGTTATTTATTTTGGAGTCTTGTTCTGTCGCCGAGGCTGGAGTGCAGTGGCATAATCTCAACTCACTGCAACCTCCGCTTCCTAGGTTCAATCAATTCTCCTGTCTTAACCACCCAAGTAGCTGGGATTACAGGCATACACCAGCATGCCCTGCTAATATTTGTATTTTTAGTAGACACGGGGTTTTGCCATATTGGGCAGGCTGGTCTTGAACTCCTGACCTCAGGTGATCTGCCCGCCTCAGCCTCCCAGAGTGCTGGTATTAGAGGCATGAGCCACCGTGCCTGGCCGAATTAAGATTTGCTTTTGAAATGCTATAAAAGGTTATATTGGAAATCCAGTAATTGTTCAGATTTTTATTTCTATTAGAGACTTAGATTTTTTTAAGTTACCTATTTTTAAAAAGCATTCAAAAAGATTAATGAAAATTGTAATAGAGAAAAAGTTAGAAACACAGTTTCCTTTTGGCAAAATAAATGTTCGAAAATTAGGCTGTGAGGGTATTTAGAACATTAAAAAAAAATGTAGGAGGGGCACGGTGGCTCCCACCTGTAATCCCAGCATACTGGGAGGCCGAGGCGGGTGGATCACATGAGGTCAGGAGTTTGAGACCACCCTGGCCAACATGTCAAAACCCTGTCTGTGCTAAAACTACAAAAATTAGCTGGGCATGGTGGCAACCGCCTGTAATCCCAGCTACTTGAGAGGCCGAGGCAGGAGAATTGCTTGAACCCGGGAGGTGGAGGTTGTAGTGAGCTGAGAACGCACCACTGCACTCCATCCTGGGCGACAGAGCGAGACTCTGTCTCAACAACGACAACAACAAAATGTCGATTCGGCAGGGCACGGTGGCTCATGCGTGTAATCCCAGCACTTTGGGTGGCCAAGGCAGGTGGCTCACCTGAGGTCAGGGGTTCGAGACCTGCCTGACCAACATGGTGAAACCTTGCCTCTACTTAAAAAAAATAAATAAATAAAATCAAAAAATAAAATCAAAAAAAAATTAGCTGGGTGTGGTGGCACACTCCTGTTGTCCCAACTACTTGGGAGGCTGAGGCAGGAGAATTGCTTGAACCTGGGAGGTGGAGGTTGCAGTGAGCCAAGATCACACCACTGTACTCCAGCTTGGGCAGCAGAACCAGACTCCATCTCAAAAAAAAAAAAAAAAAAAGTGATTGCCAATTTTTGAAGAATTCATCAAGATATTTTAAGGGAGGCACTTTATATTAAATATATGTCAGATCCTTTAGAAATTGCATACAGTTGACTGGGCGTGGTGGCTTACGCCTGTAATGCCAGCACTTTGGGAGGCCAAGGCAGGCGGATTGCCTGAGCTCAGGAGTTTGAGACCAGCCTGGGCAACACGGTGAAACCTCATCTCTAATAAAATTTAAAAAGTTAGCTGGGCATGGCGGCATGTGCCTGTAGTCCCAGCTACTTGGGAAGCTGAGGCAGGCGAATTGCTTGAACCTGAGAGGCTGAGGTTGCAGTGAGCCAAGATTGTGCCACTGCATTCCAGCCTGGGCGACAGAGCAAGACTCTATCTCAAAAAAAAAAAAAAAAAAAAAATGCATTGCATACAGTTTTCACTGTAACCTCCTAATCTTTCCTCATGTGTAGATAAGAATAAATTCTTTAGACAAAACTTTTAATCAGTATTAGATAAACATTCTACAAATTTTATGATACCATTAGCAGTTATCTTTATGCATGTGTTACATAAAAATATTTAAAGTAAATGTATTTTTAAAATGTTATTTCCATCATTAATGGATTGATATTCCTTAAGTAGAGCATTCACAACCTTTATTAATATTTGGGAAATATGTTTGGTCTCATTATTAGATGGTATTACATCTCAGATGATGTTCCTGTTGCAGAAGTCTGTGAAACAGTATCTATATTTGGCTGCAGTTGAGAGCTAAACAGTGTGTTGAACCAGTTAGGAGTTTAATTCTCTGTAGAAAACCAGAGGCAGTCCAGGGCTGGTGTAGTTTTTGTTCCACATTGCTTAGGATCCTAGGCTCCCTCCGCCCCTGGGATATGGTCCTCATTTTCACATAGATCAAGAGCCAGAGCTCCAGTTATCATTTCTTAAAGTATATTTTAATGCCAAAAAAGTGAATAAAGGTGGGCAGAAAATGCATGCACAGAATCCTTGTTTTTCTCATTTTGTGCTGATTGGTATAAATTTTATTGTATTTGTAGTCTCTGGAAATCTAACTTTGAGAGGACAAAGATGAATTCTTAGTCCTGTTTTGGATGGTCTTTGAATGATCCTTAAGGGCAGTTATTTATAATGTCTTTCTTAACTCACCCAACGTGGGCTGACCAAATGTAGTCTGTATAAACTAGGTGGTTAAAGTAAAGAAGCTATCAGATGCAGTAGACAAAGAAAAAAATGGCGTCCAGAACTGGTCCCCACCTATTCCCAGTCCAGTCCTGGTTCCACAGCAAAATACATTCATAGTTCAGGCATTCTTCCTTGGGATAGATATAATGTAAGCGACCAAGTCTCTTGGACAAGGGATTGTCTCTGATCAATCCCTGCCAAACTCCTTTCCTTTGTTAACTCAAGTGGTTAGATCTTACTCGCTGAACAGAAGGAATATGAGAGGTCAAAACATGCCTATTCAGTCCTCTTATATTGCTCCACACCCTTTCCCTCAAAAGCCAAGAGACCTTTCAATGGTCCCCTTTCCTCTGCCAGAACACCAGAGATGCCTGCTTTACATGGACTTACATGCTCCCAAGAATCACTTGGATAAATGAGTGGTGCTACTTTCCCATGGTTGGGGAAAAGCTAGGAACCTGACAATGCAATGCTCGGAACCTGCTGACCAGTACTAGTTATGCTGTCTTGCCATAGTAGTGCAGTTCTTTAAAATGTTGATGCTTGCTCTCTTACCAAGCAAAGGTTGGTTTTTTTGTTTTTTTGTAGAGACAGGGTCTCATTATGTCACCCATACTGGAGTACAATGGTGTAATCTTGGCTTACTGCAACCTCCATCTTCTGGGCTCAAGCCATCCTCCCACCTCAGCCTTCCAAGTAGCTGGGACCATAACCAGCCAATGTTTAATTTTTAATTTTTAAATATTTATTTATTTATTTTATTTTGTAGAGTTAGGGTTTCGCCATGTTGCCCATGCTGGCCTTGAACTCCTGGGCTCAAGCAGTCTGCCCGCCTGGACCTCCCAAAATGCTGAGATTACAGGCATGAGCCACCGCACCCAGACCAAATAAAGTTTTAAGAAATTCCTTGGCCAGGCATGGTGGCTCAGGCTTTTGTAGAAAAACATAGCTTTCCTGTGAGAAGATAATCAATATTTTCTTTTCTTTTCCTTTGAATTTGGAATTGCCATTTTGGAACTGTTGTCAACAATGCATAATAATATATCAGAATGCTTCCTAGTATAATATTATTGGAGAAAGAACAAACAAAAGTTTAAATTGATATAAAATGCACATAATTGAACAAACAACCCTGCAAAAAAAAAAAAACCATCTGGGAATTTCTGATAATAACATTGAAATCTGTTCACACAGTCTAAAATTCTTTTGATGTATCATAGTTTTGAAAAAAGGTAACAGTTTATTATATATAACAAATATAAGGAAAATATTAAATTTTTTGAAAGATACTAGTTTTTATTTTTGTTCATTTTTTAGAGATAGGGTCTCACTATGTTGCCCAAGCTAGAGTGCAGTGGCCTGATTATAGCTCACTGCAGCCTCAAACTCCTGGACTCAAGGGATCTCCCACGTCATCCTCCTAACTAGGACCACAGGCGCATGTCACCACATCTGGCTGATTTTAAAATTTTTTGTGAAGACGGTCTCGCTGTGTTGCCCAGGCTGGTCAAGAACTCTTGGCCTCAGACAGTCTTCGTGCCTCAGCCTCCTTAAGTGCTGGGATTATAGGCAAGTCACTGTGCCTGGCCAAAAATACTAATTTTTAATAGATACTATTATGGCTCCTATTCTTAAAGGAAAAAATAGGACATTTTAAGACTCTGTGCAAGGGATATTCAATTAGTATATTTTTTATTTAAAAAGCCACTACTTAGAATCAGATTTCATTAGGCAAATGAAATCCAGATATTACTAGCCAGAAACTATCAGGTGTAGAAACAGCAGGAACATTTTAGTCACTTCGTTGTTGACATTTTTGACTATCATAGATTAAGTATCAAACACAATAATGGTATTTTGTTATATGAACCAAATATATCTCTTTTTACGAGACATAGTCTAGCTCTCCCATCCAGGCTCAACTCCTGGGTTCAAGGGATCCTCCTGCCCCAGCTTCCTGAGTATGTACCTGGGAGTACAAGTGCATGCCACCACACCCAGCTAATTTTTTTTGTTTTTGTGGAGATGGGGTCTTGCTATGTTGCCCAGGCTGGACTCCAACTCCTGACCTCAAGCAATCATCTCATCTTGACTTCCCAAAGTGCTAGGATTACAGGCATGAGCTACTGCATCCAACCTGAACCAAATTTATCTTATAACTTAGAAGAGAAACATTTTTGGCTTGTTGGTTTTATAGAATTAAACCTAATTTTTGTTCTAATAGCAGTTCCATTGATTTGCAGATTTAAGGTAGTAAATTATTTTCTTGCAGTGTCTATAAAAGTAAATGAAATTATGTCCTATCATAAAAATTCTCTATAGATAATAAATTATTTACATTTTATAGGAGAGAAAAATACATGTTAAAGTTTTTGAACAGACACACAGGCAGAAAATAAATGGCAGTGGATTTGAACTTGGACTTATTTTGGACAAGCTCTTAACTGGTATATATTTTGTCAATCTTATGTCATGCACAAGAATGATATTTTTATAAATGGAAAGAGTGAGTGTGGAAGTGTCTTCATTTACCTAACAGGTTATATGTGGTTGGGCGCCGTGACTCACGCCTGTAATCCCAACACTTTGGGAGGCTGAGGCGGGCAGATCACCTGAGGTCAGGAGTTCAAGAATAGCCTGACCAACATGGAGAAACCCCATCTCTACTAAAAATACAAAATTAGCCAGGCGTGGTGGCGCATACCTGTAATCCCAGCTACCTGGGAGACTGAGGCAGAAGAATTGCTTGAACCCGGGAGGCGGAGGTTGTGGTGAGCCAAAATGGCGCATTGTACTCCAGCCTGGGTAACAAGAGCGAAACTCCATCTCAAAAAAAAAAAAATACGTAAATTTAAGTGACATTAATGGGTACTAAATTACCATAATATGTTCAGCTTTGCATTTTTTTGCCTTTAAAATTAATTTCAATTTTAGGGTACTACTAAATGTAATAGTATATAAATATAATAGTATATAAATGTAATAAATTGTAATAGTATATAAATGTATACTTTAAAGATCAATTTCTGTGTAAATAGGAATTGTATATAAGCAAAAACAAATTCTAGAAATTATCCAATTATGTCATTCATGTTATTTAAAGGGAAACCACAATCCAGACAGGTTAAGTACCTAGTGTGAAGGTATGTATCCAATTAATGGAGCTGGGCGACATACATCTGAGTAATAAAGACTACAGAGAAATTATCTGGTTAGGTACAATCTGATACAAAGTTTAGAAACATGTCAAACAATTCTATGTATAGTCAGTGAAAGTGTAATAACGTGCCTGAGACATACCAGATCAAGTTCAATGGTTGTTTCAGGGGGAGGAAATAATTTTTAAAACGATGTCTATAACATTTCACATTTAAAATCATCTTAATAAGTCTAATTCTAGAATTGTGTCTAATTCTAATACTGTGCCTAGCTTTACTTGAATAAACAGAAATGTAGTAGGGAAGAGACAGCATGTTTAGCTTGCAGTATCTAAGTAATTACTTGTGTAGGTATCTGGGAAGATAGCTCTCCATAGCTCCACTGTCACTGACCTGTAATGCTTGTCCTGACGTCTTCGGTAAAATTCAACAGATTACAAAGAAACTGGTGCAATGCCTTGAAGAAATAGAGTTTTTTGTATGATGTCAGATTCAATACACCTCTAATCCTTAGTAAAACAGTACAAAACAGTAGAATAATTTTTAGTGTTTTCTAATGTCAACTGAGGTTTTATTTGGGAGATTAACCAGAGGTTTGCAGAAAAATAAAGTGAAGACTATTAGTCTTTAAAGAAACTAAGACTCTAGGTTTGGATCCCATTTGTGGAGCCCCACATTCCAAGTCATCTAATGTTCTTGTCTAGTTAGCTTGTAAAAGTCTACCATGGAGGAAAACCCTTTTTTTTCTTAGTATAAATGTATTATATGTTGATAGAAAGTTAAATAAAAGTTCAATAAATGTGCTTCTAAGTGAAATTTAAAAGTATGTTAAAGGTGTTAAATTATTTCACTTTCTAAAGAGGTTTTATGCAACACTAAAATGTAATGACTGAGCTGCCTCCTTTTGTTAAGGGACTAGTGCAAGTAAGAGTCTCACTCTGTCGCCCAGGCTGGAGTGTAGTGGCGCAATCTCGGCTCACAACTTCCGCCTCCTGGGTTCGAGCAATTCTCGTGCCTCAGCCTCCCAGCTGGGATTACAGGTGCATGCCATTACATGGGGCTAATTTTTGAATTTTTAATAGAAACAGGGTTTCACCATGTTGGCCAGGCGGTTCTCAAACTCCTGACCACAAGTGCTCCGCTCGCCTCAGTCTCCCAAAGTGCTAGGATTATAGGCGTGAACTACCACACTCATCCTAGTGCAAGCCATGTAAACATTTTATCCAACAGCTAAAGGAAGATTAATTCATTCCACGGGCATTTATGAAATATGAGAGACTTGACTCCTGTCCGGGTGAAGCATCAGCAGCTAGCTCTACATTATTTTCTGATACTATTCCTACACTGTGCCACCTTTCCTTAGTGACTTGTGAAGAAAAAGTGATTATATGTAAATACTACACTTCATTGATGGCTTGGAGATACTGTGTATCTTTCTGTAATTTTACCCAGTTAAGTGAATAAAAGCAACAGGCCCGGCCGGTAGCCACTATTCTGACTTCCTGGTGTCGTCTTTGGAGGACTTTAGTTGGCCTCAGATTGAGCTGAAGAAGATATTAGTTTACTGTTCTCTTGACTTAAAACTTCATCTTGTTGGAACAAACATTTTCTAAAATACCCCAAGAACTTTACCTTGGGGCATAGTAACATTTGAAAGTCATTTCGCTTGCAATGTTATTTATTCCTTGGTGAGAAAGATAATCTGGTCTTTTCAGATATTTTATAATGTATCCTTCAGTTTTGAATTAGCTATCTTTATTTCAGTTCGTTCATTGATGGACTCAACATTCATTCAGGACCTAGTTTGTATTAGGCACTCTGCTAGGTGCTAAGGCTGCAGAAATGCATAAGGGTGGACAGCAGCTTTGAAGCAGCTCAGCACCTAATGGGGAAGACAGGCAGGTAGATCATTACAGCCGGAGAGCGGTATACCCCTTAGGAGAAATGCGACATTTAGTAAGATTCAGGAAAGCCATCCCAAGGAAATACGTCAATCACTCATATTTGCCAAACGCTAATTTTTACCCTTCTGAGGAAAGCTGTAGACTCTTTCCTCAAAAAAACAAAATTTTGCACATGATTTCAGGTATTTGCCTATTCCTTGGAAATCCAAATATCTCAGGGTAAAACTCTAAAGACATTTAATGTTTTCAGTCCAAATTAACCCTCTATAACTTGCCACTTTTCCTATTTTAAAAGTATACTTTCCAGGTTGAGTATTTTGTACTGTTAATATTCTAGAACCTGACCCTATCTTTGTCATCATACAGACTTTAGTTATCACCTCGAGTGTTAACCTTTTCATTCTTTGCTAGCCTATGTGTCACAGTTGTAATTAATAATTCATATGCTGCTGTTTTAGGAAAGTTTTGGAGTCACCTTTAAAAAGAATGCAGTTTGATTATCTCCTACTAGTAGTAAATAGTTTTGCTTCCTTTTTGTTTTTTTCCTGAGACTTTCAGGATCCGGTTTTACCTTTTACTCTTGAAGATTCATCACAAACATTATGGATACGGATATATACATTTGAGATTGGTTATGAACGGTTGTTAAGACCTCTTTAAATCTTTAACACGGGAGTTAGATGCTGAGGAGCCGCCCCACAAGGCCCGGCAGGTCCGGGGGTGGGGGTGCTCGGAGGGAGCCGGGAGGGCCCCGGGCCAATGCCTTCCACTTCCCCACGCCTCAGGAGAGCTCACCTCAGCTCCTCGGATGTTCTGACCGGCTTGGTGTTTGTCATCTCACTTTATTAAGTAAGGAGGAAATCGGGAAAGGAGGGATAGAGAGGGTCCCCTAGTTCATTCAAGAGCAGACCGAGAGATGCGCCGGTCCCCAGTCGGGCCGGTGGCGGGGTCAGGCCGGCGCCCGAATGGGGCGGACGCCAGGCCGTGCGGTTTAAATCTCCCGCCTCCCGCAGCGGGAGCCTGACACCTCCACGCACTGGTGCGGAGGGATAGAGAGGGTCCCCTAGTTCATTCAAGAGCAGACCGAGAGATGCGCCGGTCCCCAGTCGGGCCGGTGGCGGGGTCAGGCCGGCGCCCG